CCTTCGCCACGACAAGGCAGTGATCCATGAAGGATAAGGTTCAATGTAATTACCGTTAATCCGTTCTGGCGTCCGCGGACCATGCGTCAGGGGCAGAAAAGCGCCCACGCGTGGCGGGGCGGCAAAATGCCCACGCGCCGCACGTCAGGGGCAGAAAAGCGCCCGCACGCCCCGCGTCGGGCACAGCAGGGCGGCAAAACGCCCATGGACCACGTGTCAGGGGCGGAAAAATGGCCGCAGACCACGTGTCAGGATGGAAAAATGGCCGCAGACCACGTGTCAGGATGGAAAAATGGCCGCAGACCACATGTCAGGACGGAAAAATGGCCATACCTCAAGGCGGAGTTCGCACATCGAGGTAAATTTTTGGGGCCGGAGCTGGTCGTATCTCAAAAATTTCGTAAGTAGGGGCGTTCGTAAGTAGAGGTAACACTGTATTTCCTGGTGCAATGCAGCACTGGTGGAGAGTCTTTCCAGCATATTTGTACTGATAATGGTATCATATCATCCATAGACAACAGCACTGTGTCTGGTATGATGGTTTTCTAAGATATGGACTTTTTCTGTATCTTATAGTGCCTCACTATTGCTTGAGAATCTACTTTTCCTTTGTGGCCAGTGTTATTGAACTATAATCTGGCTTGAATTTGGTAACAAAAATCTGTTCTTCCATGTATCATGGTGAATATTTCTATATGCTTTTCAGCTTAATCAGTTCACTCTTGTCTAGGCTCTCGATGATGATATCCCAGAAGAAAAGCAACACTATCAATTTCAACTTGCTAGTATTAGTGATGGCGGAATCATAGATGAGGCTGCCAAAACAGCAAATATCACTATGGCTGCTAGTGATTTGCCGTATGGACAGTTCGCATTTTCTCAAGAAGTACTGCAAATGACAGAAAAAGAAAAATGGGTATGCAGAGTTTAAATCCTAATTTATTAGAACATCTTTTCGTACATTGTAACTGAAGTTCCGCCTTGGAGATTAATGCAAAGCACTATAATACAAAAAGTATCCCAGGCACTTAATTCTACTTTGGGGTTTTAATTCTATTTTAATTTAGATATCAATTATTTGCTGTTTAATTAAACTGAAGGTGTTTACCAGAGGTGTTTCTGAGATGTGTTCTTTATATTATAAATTGGGGGGGGGGGGAATATTGCACGAGATGTTTGCAAAAGAAAACATCTTGTCTTTTAGTTCTTTAGTAATCTTTGGACAATGACCAATTTTTGCATATTTAGTATTGATTTAAACATACATTTATTTCAGTCCAGAGTATAGTGGAATTTGTTGAAAATGACCTGGTTAATATTGTAAAATCTGACTCTTACCCAGACAGCTGACAAGAAGAGTTTTGTGTAATAATTTAATATATTTATATACTGCTTCCTTTGCAAAGCATCTCAAAGTAGTTTACGTCAAAAACAGCAATATTAAATAGTACATTAAAACAGTAGTTGTCAAATCATGGTTGTGACTGACCAGGGGGTTGCAAGTAACTTAGAAGGAGTCACAAAAGGTTTTCAAAGATGATCAGATTTATCTCACTTCTGCTTTGCCTGTGTAAACTTGCAGTGGGCACACAAAGGCAAAGTAGGGAGCAAATCCTGCAACACTGTAATTGGTGGATGGTTTCCTGCTTGATGATAGCGTAGCATGCCGTAGTCAGTCAGTCCTTTATTACGGTCAAGGACCATAATTCAGCATGCAGTAGTATTTCTGTCTATAGGAGTGTATATGTTCACTCTTTTTATCTATTATTTTAAAGTCCTAGCCTTTCAAAATGAAAAAGGGGTTGAGGGGAAAATAAAAGCTGGGTGACCTTGGACCAGTCACTTTCTCTCAGTCCTAGGAAGGAGGCAATGGCAAACCACTTCTGAAAAACTTTGCCAAGAAAATTGCAGGGACATTCCAGGTAGTTTACAAGAATCAGACACAATTGAACTGATTAAAAAAAAAAATGTTCTACTAGTAGTGCTGATAAAAATAAGTCTAAATCAAGAAGGTGGATGACTATGTGTAGTTTACCAAGTTGAAAATTAATTGTCTAACCCAAACCCCAATGAAATTACACAAAAATATCCCAAGATATGAATACAGAGGTGAGTTTTCAACAGATACCTAAAAAAATACCCAATTTAATTTTTTAACTTTATAGTTATTTATACCTTTTATCGTTTTGTGGATTTTTGTTTAATTGAATTTTTTTAGCTATTTTGGTAGGGTATTAGATAGCACATACTTATCAGGTTTTGCTACTTAGTGATTATAAATTGTTGTTTTTAATTAGGTTTTGCTGTTACAATATTATTATGAGAAGTTTTATAATTACTAATTGTCTCTGACATTTTGATATTTATACTGTATTTTAAGTAGTTCTTATGTAGCTTGTTGAAAAATACACTATAAGATAAGAAGTTATTTTTGTTATTACTTTCTGTGTAAAGATGAAAAAAGTTATGCAGCTGCCTAGCAACCCCATCTAGTGTTCAAAATTGTCCTAATTCCTCAACCCATTTTCAGACCCAAATGTAACCAAAAGTTATTGATGTTGGAATTAAGTTTATGTGAAACTTGAAATAATTTTTTATTTGGAATCAAGTTCAAATTGCTACATAATATGAAAACCTAAAGTAGGTAACATGATATCATTTGCATACATGCAATGTGCATTTCTTTTATTGGCTTAAAATAACCTATGCTTATGCCAGATTATAAGAGTTGTAGTATAGATCAAAGAACAATAAAGTGTGCAACAGATCTGCCAGTCCAAATAGAGTACATTTTTCTACTCTACTAGAAAATAGACACCAGAGTTAAAACACGTTAATAGAATTTGTTAACATGAATGTTTTAAATAGTTTCCCTGCACATTGCAGGGGTTGGACCAGATGATTGTTGTGGTCCCTTCTAACTCTAGAATTCTTTGATTCTAAAATTACTTTCAGAGAAATAATGAAGCTGCATTTCACCTTAGAAAACATTTGTCTCTAACAGGCTAACATCACAGTTGTCCGTTCTCATGGATATTACAAGCAAATTCATCTTTTGTATAAGACACTGAACGGTACTGCAGTGGAAGGCTCAGACTTTGGTGTGACTTCAGGAGAGCTTATTTTCAAACCCACTGAAACTGTTAAAATCATTTATGTTGAAATCTATGATGATGATCTTCCGGAAGGTCCTGAGGATTTTTCAATAGTAATTACAAAAGTGGAATTACTGGGAAGGTAAAAATAAAGTCCATCTTATGAAAAAAGATTGACAAAAAACATTAAATGTGCTATATATAAAATACCATTTAGCAAATCTTAGCATCTTAGTCGATTTTGTGACCAAGATCTAAAGAAAGATTGAATTTAAAATGGATGTACCATTTCTTATGGTTCCTCTGCAAACCAGGAATGCAAAACCTGGTTCATTCTAATAGCAGTGACTCATGATTTGGTGTTGCTACTGAGTCAATTACAGGTAGTCCTCAGGTAACGATGGCAATGGGGACTGGAATTTCCATCACAAAGTGATGCAGTCATACAACACAATGTCACATGACTACATCACTTAGTGATGGCAATCCCAGCAGTGACAGTTGCCACTGTAACCCCAGGACTACACAGGCATTAAACAGAAAGAGGTTGGAGTCCCAGGCAAGCAAGCCAGTGGGTGACAGCTGTGGGTTACAGCTATGGGTGGGAAGTTGCTGCAGGTGAGCATTAGGAAGCATGGGTGGGGGGTAGGTGCTGTGGGTAGGCTCTAGGGAGCATGGGTGGGTGCCACAGATAGGGAGGTAGGTGCCACAAGTGGGTGCTAGTGTCCTGCTTCAAGCACACACACTCACACACGGTTGCTATGGAGTTTAGCAATTTTACTCCAAGGCTGAAGAGAAAACAGCAAACAAAGGAATGTAAACAAAACTGAGGTTTGCCTGAAGAATTTGCTTTCCAAATAGGAGCGCACAGAAGAGTAGTCCAAATCCAAATCCAAGGTTCCAAGAGCCAGGTCAGGGTTGTCAGCCAGTCCAGAGATTCAAGGTTTCAAACACAAACAGGATTTGTAGGAACATTGCACAAGAGCTGGAGGTCAGACATTTCCAGCAAAGAGAGCAGGGCTCAGAGCTGCTTCTTAAATAAGGCTGCAGCCAGCTGTCACTAATCAGGAGATTTACTCCCTTGCTTGGCAAGGAACCTAATAGACTTTTGCAGCTCTGTTCTCTTCTCCTCAGGTGTGGGGGATGGGAGGCCTTACGTCATCCTCATCTGACTTCTCCAGCTGCTCAGATGGTGCCTGTGTTTGATCAGCTTCATGTGATTTCTGGTTTTGTCTCTCCTGAGGCTGACATTCCACAGGCTCAGCTGGAACAGCTTCTTCAGGTCAGATTTAGATTCAGAATCTAAGTCCTGAGTCTGGGCCATGACAGCTAGGGAGCATGGGCAGGTGCTGCAGGTGGGGATGTGCCATGGGCAGGTGGGGTGCAGCAGTGGCAGGGGGGCAATTGTAAATGTGCGCCAGCCCAAATTTTGATCATATGACCATAGGGGATCTGTGACGGCTGGAACTTCAAGGACTGTAAGTTCATTTTTTCAGCACCATCTTAATGAATGGACATAACCCGAGGACTACCTATAATATCTAATACAATAAAATAGGAGCATATAGGAACATGAATGTATTGCCTTATTTATTTATTTATTTATTCATTCATTCATTCATTCATTCATTATTTTTCTCCTCATATACTTTTGCAAGTGAATTTGATTTTACAATAAAAGAAAATGGATTGCAAGTTGACCAGCCCCCTGAGATAGGAAATGTTTCAGTAATAAGAATCATTATATCAAAAAGTGACAATGCAGAAGGCATCATTGAATTTGATCCCTCCTATACAAGTCTAGAAGGTATGTTCGTTTCCTACGGTATTATTTTATTTATTTATTTTAAAACATTTCAGGATCCAACAAGAAAAATACTCTGCCCCTGGATTAAAAAAAAAATACTGCTTTCTGTCTTTCCTTTTCTTTTAGTTTGCTTTTAAACATCATCAACAACAACAAAAATCATGGCTTTTCCTTTTCTTTTCTTTTGGTATTTTGGCCTATGACCATAAATTGAATAAATGAAAAAAAAATTATGGAGTAAAATAAATGACTGCATTAAAAAAAAAAAGAATGTGAGAAAAGGCATAGTGGATGGAAAATAAAATATCAGTAAATAAACAGAATTTACAATTGTCATAAAATTTAAAATTCATTATTTCATTGATTAAATAATTGAGTATATAAAACAGAGTAATTGAGTATATAAATTCAGACTCATTATATCATCTTGAGAAATAATTCTAAATTACTACAGACCACTTTTATCATTATCTAAAATTAATGCACATGAACTTATTTTTTTAAAAAATGAAACAAGTACTAAAAAAAATATTAAAGTAAAAAAAAAGAGTAAAAATATTAAAGTAAAAAACAATATTAAATTCTAAATTCCCTCCCACTGTACGTGGATGGTGATTACGTCAAATTATTAATAAACATTAAAATTGATTCTGGTTGCTATCCACATCAAATATTTCTCCTTAAAAACCATACTACAATTGCTGCATATACTACAATTGAATCATGATCATGCGACAGTCGTAAGTGCGAGGACTGGTTGTAAGTAATTTTTTTCAGCACTGTTATAACTTCAAATGCTTGCTAAACTAATGGTCTACATTGAGGACTATATGTATGAACATAGCAAAGTACAAAACTTCACTTTAAAATTTTTCCATACCGCATTAAAAAGTAGGTAAAAAGATACCTATTGGTTTCAGCAGACAGAAGCCAAAAGTTACTGCTGATAACTAAGTCTACAGAGAATCTCAAAGAATCCTGATCTTTAATTATGTGGTTGAAAAACATTTGTCAAAGACCTGAATGTTGCTTATATAATCTGATGCAGCAATTTGTTGAGAGAAAAACTTGTATAGACTCAGACTTTGGCACATATATACTCAGCTGGATCATAACCACATGCATTAATAGTTATTACTTACATTACCAGAAGTTGGATCCCCACATCTACCTCCTATTACTGCATCTACTGCACTCATTCTGATCCTTAAAATTTATGTTGATTATATTATTATCCTGATTATATTATTTTATTTTATTATATTATTTTATTATTATATTATTAACACAGTTATTGCTCATTACTTATTTCATAGAAGAGGAGGTTGGGCCCCAAATCATCAAATACAGAACTTGGAATTAATAAGAAACACATGTAGGCAGTGTACTGAAACTACATGAACCATTTGCCTATTCACACTATCAAACTCTACATAACTGGAAGTCTAAAGAAAGATTAGAGGTGTTGCAGTTTGGCTTATTAGCAGCTGCATTCATCTTTTGATGTTTTGACCATACTTCCACCATAATTTTTTTCACTGTGCTGTCCCTCTTTCCCTGTAGTAGGCCTAAATTAGCTTTAGATTACTCTGCTTCTCATTTACACTTTGCATCCACCTTTCCCTGCAATTTAGAGCCTGCCTTAAACAGTTTTAACTATGGCCATAATTATTAGGTTTTATTCCTTCTAAAACAATCTATTATAATCATATAATCATGAGCCAGAATCGACAATATCCTCCTGGTTCTGTATGACTATATATTTCCTGCCACCCAGTTCAGGCTTTTGTTATTTCTAGCTTTGCATTTTCCATTTTCTGAACTAATAGGTATACACTGTGCTCCTCTTCCTTATTGTGGACCTGCCAGTAAATAAGGTAGTCCCTTCTGAGCACAGAATCTGTCAAAGGAAGTAATAGGCCTAAATATACCCACATAACATACTATCTTTGTAAATCTGGGGGGAAAGCCTTCACATAGAATTCAATGATATGAAAACATCTTATGATTTGTGTTGGAATATACTTAAGAGCATTGACTTCGTATATGATCTCAGATGTGATTAAAACAAACAGAAGGAATCAGATTTCAAGGATAAACATAATTTCCACAATTATAATTTTATCCCAGTAATGATATTTGTAGACAATTGCCCACAAAGCTGAACATCTCCTACATTTGCAAACTTGAGTGAATAACTGGGTATTCATATACAATTTATAAAATCATACTGTGGCTATGATTTTTTATTCAAACTTCCTGGAACTGAATGAACTTTACTCCTGTGTAAGACCTTGTAATGTTTTCTGTGGTGTTTTGTTTTTTTTTTTTAGTGGAAGAAGATGTTGGGAGGATAATGATTCCAGTATTTCGAAGGCTAGGGAATTATGGTTTTGTGACAGCAGATTTCATATCTAGAAGTATTTCAGCTCTTCCTGATGGTGTTGACTATAATATTACAAATAATTCAGTTGTTTTTCATCATGGCCAAACTCAGAGTTTTATCAGTATCTTAATCATGGATGATGAAGAAAGGTAAAGCCCTCTTTCTTGTTTTTCATTCACTATCCTACAATTATTCAAGGATTGCATTTCACAGTCAGTGGCATCCATAGCAAAATCAGCAAAACTCTGTGGACACTACTGGTCACAGTATTCATGTATGAATAGAATTAATTATAGTGGCCATGAAACAGGTTGTTTTATTAAAAAAATAAATTTAAAACATGTGGCACTTATTACTGTGTTTTTAAACAATTATTTACCTTATTTTTCCAATACAGATATTAAAATTACTTCTTCTACATATTTATTCTTGGAGAATTAGAGGTGTTACTATCCATTACTTCTTGTTTTCATCTATAACTTTAAACACTTTCACAAATAATAGTAATGAATTTTATGAAGATATTCTGTAAAAATACTAAGCGTTCATATTTTTGTGGTATGTGGGGTATGTAATTGTGTTTGGTATAAAGTATGATTCATTCTTTTATTTCTGAACAGAGAATATGCTGAGCAGTTTGAAATCCAGCTAATAGGTGCCAGTGGGGGAGCGGTCCTTGGACTTCACCTGGTTACCCAAATAACGATTACTAAGAATGACTCTCCACATGGGATTGTCCGTTTCCTCAATGAAAGCCAAATCATTCTCCCCAATCCTAACATCTCATTAGCACTATCCTTGGTACTTGAAAGAACTGGAGAATTGATAGGAGAGTCTCAGGTATGTCACTTCTCTGTCTCTCTTTGTTTCCTTTTCTTAATTCCTCTGCCTGTAACTGATGATGATGATGATGATGATGATGATGATGATGATGATGATGATG